TCTTGATTATGCCATTACAATTGTTCTATTTCCCCCCTCCATTCCCCTCCACCCTGCACACCCCTCCACCGTCATTCCCTCCCCCTTTAGTTTATGACCACGTGTCTCAAGTTCTTTAGATTCTATATTTCCTCTACTATTCTTGCCCTCCCCCTTATCTATTTTCTACCTACCATCTATGCTACTTATTTTCTGTACATTCTCCCCCCTTCTCCTCCTCCCACTCCCCTGTTGCTAAACCTCCATGAGATCTTCATGTCTATGGTTCTGCTCCTGATCTAGCTGTCCTCTTAGTTTGCTTTTGTTTTAGGTGTGGTTCTTAATAACTGTGAGTTTGCTATCCTTTCACTGTTCATCTTTTTTATCTTCTTTTTCTTAGGTAAGTCCCTTTAACATTTCATATAATGAGGGCTTGGTGATGATGAACTCCTTGAATTTGATCTTATCTGAGAAGCACTCTATCTGCCCTTCCATTCTAAATGAAAGCTTTGCTAAATAGAGCAATCTTGGTTGTAGGTCTTTGGATTTCATGGCTTGGAATACTTCTTTCCAGCCCCTTCTTGCCTGGAAGGTCTCTTTTGAGAAATGAGCTGACAGTCTGATGGGAACTCCTTTGTAGGTGACTGTCCCCTTATCTCTTGCTGCTTCTAGGATTCTCTCCTTCATTTGAATCTTGGCTAATATAATTATGATGTGCCTTGGTGTGTTCCTTCTTGGGTCCAACTTCTTCGGGACTCTCTGAGCTTCCTAGATTTCCTGGAAGTCTGTTTCCTTTGCCAGACTGGGGAAGTTCTCCTTTATTATTTGTTCAAATAAGTTTTCCACTCGTGGCTGTTCCTCCTCCCCTTCTGGTACCCCTATAATTTGGGCGTTGGAATGTTTAAAGATGTCCTGGAGGTTCCTAAGCCTCTCCTCATTTTTTTGAATTCTTGTTTCTTCATCCTTTTCTGTTTGGTCATTTTTTCCCTCCTTCTAGTCCACTCCTTTGATTTGAGTCCCAGTATCCTTTCCATTACTATTGCTTTCCTGTGCATTTCCCTTCATTTCAATTAGTTTAGCCTTCATATGTTCCTCTAATTTGTGACTAAAATCAACCAGTTCTGTGAGCATCCTGATCACCAGTGTTTTGAACTGTGCATCTGAAAGTTTGGCTATTTCTTGGTCACTTAGATTTATTGGCTCTGGGGCTCTGAGTTGTTCTTGAGCCATGTTTTGGTCTGTTCACGCCTGTTATGTGTGAGGAGTGGGAGAGGCGCCTTAGGTGTTCACCAGGGCGGGGGCCACCCAGGTTGCTGGTGTGACGCTATACGTGGGGGCGGGGTCAGAGAGGGACAATGGCGGTTCCCTCCGCTGCTTCCTGCCGCTGGGGCCTGCATGGTCCGTCTCACTGCTAGCTCCTTCACTGACCCATCTGCGTGCGAATGTATAACTGCAATCAGCCCTCAGTGGGTCTGATTAGCCCTCAGTGGGTCTGCCCGCTACTCCACACCTGGGATCCGCCCATGGCTGCTGGCCCACCAGGGTCAAGTGCCCGGGTTGGTCTGTTGGATCTTTCCTGCCCGACCACACTCTGCTGCTGGCTCTGCCCCTCTTACCGATTTGGCTGAAGGGTTTGTTGTTGTCGGACTTCTGTGTAGGTCAATTTTCTGTGGTTTGGCTGCGTTTTTGTTGCTAAAACTTTGTTGTTTTTAAACTTGGTTGTGCGAGAAGGTGCAGTGCTTCCACCTACACCTCCATCTTGGCGGAAGTCTCTGGTAGTTTGTATTTTTAAGGAATTTGTTCCTTTCCTCTAAATTGCAGCATTTACTGGCATAAAATTTTTTGTAATTTTTTAAAATGTTTGTAGGATCTATAGTGATGTTCTCTCAATCCTAAAATGGTTATATGTATATTCTCTCTCTCTTTTTCCCTTTAATCATTCTGGATTGATGTTTGGCCAAAGAATCAGCTTTCTGTTTTGTTGGTTTTCTCTATTGTTTCTGTCTTCTACTTCATTGACTTCTGCTATCTTTACAACTCCCTTCCTCCTGCCTACTTTGAGTTCAATTGGCTCTTCTTTTCTAGTTTCAGGTAGAAACTTAGGTCTTTTGGGATCTTTCTAATTAAAGTGTTTAAGGCTGTGAATTTACATTTAAGAACTTCTTTACCTATATCACCATGTCCTTGGGTTTTATGTAGATTAAATGAGATACATACAGTCAGTCAAGAAAGAAATATGTGATTATCCAATCTATGTCAGCCACTGTGTTTGGTATTAGGAATATACTGCACAAAAAAGGTATATCCATTCTCTCATCAAGCTTAGAAGGTAATATCAACAAAACTGGTGCTAAAATCAATGTAAATTATTCTGAGTATCTTCTTGATATTCAGAAAGTACATTAAATCGAAAGCATAACAACTGTTTTACACTAATGATAAAGCTATCTTCTATTTGTCCATTCACATGATTTAGCAAAAACTAAGTTGCTAGGTTTTTTAAAGCAGCAATTTATAATTCCAATTGCAACATAACTTCATTGTGGAGTAAATTTCATTAATCCATTTGTAACTGTCTAAATAAACTACACATGTCAATTTAATACAGTCAAGATAGACCTGGCTGGTGTGGCTCAGAGGTTGAGCGCCAGCATACAAAAGCAAAAGATCATGGGTATGATTCCTAGTCAGTGCGCATGCCTGGACTGCGGGCCAGGTCCCCAGTAGGGGCAGCGAGAGAGGCAACCATACTTTGATGCTTCGCTCTTTCTCCCTCTTTTCCCCTCTCTAAAAAATAAATAAATAAAATATTTTAAATAAATAATATAATCAAGATAAATAAGTATTTTTGTAATTCTAGACTTCAAAACCACCTTTAGAACTATAAAGAATCATAATTTTAAAAAAGCATTCATTATATTGCCAAATATTTTCCTAAGATTATTTTCTTTTAAGTTATGAGAAGAAAAGAAACACTCTAACCATTCTATCCTATCATCAAGGTTGGTTCAAAATACCCAGAACTTAAGAAAAAAAAATCTCTGCTCCTCCCACCTCAGTTGAATGTAAATGCAAGACAAATCACTGGTCTCAGGGTCATTTAAATGCTCATCTGTCCCACCAAACACTCGCATTTTCCAAACCACCACCAGTGGGTTACATTAAATATCTAAGTATAACTAATTACACTTGTAAATAATTAATTATATAGAAATTTAATTTAAATCTTGGTTAATCAGGTGCAACAATAAGCAGCCCTGCACACCCACACTTTGTAACCTAAATCTTCCTACACTCATGCTTCTTCCTGTTCTCGTCCCTGGGTCTTCATTTAGGCCACAGGTTCTCAACCTCAGCTGCATATGGGAACATATGAATTACCTGGGATACCTGAAAGTACTGATGCTAGGGTCCCACAGGCAGAGATTCCTGTTTAGAGTCTTTGAAGGTAGGGAGGTTTAAAAGCTCCCCAGGTGATTCAAATCAGCAGACTAGGAGTAAGAAGGACCGGTCGGTCCGGCCTCTCTGGGAAGACATGCCTCTAATGGCCATTGGCCAGTCTGTACCACCAGCCTGCTCAACCTTACCCAGCCTCACTGCTAGTCAGGCACCCAGTAATTCCATCCAGATTCCCAGGCTTACCTCTATTTCCTACCCAGAAATGGGCAGGATAAACAAAGGATAAAATGTCAGTCTCTAACTGTATTTTAGCCACTTCTCTCCAGTGCACTTTTAAATTTCATAAAGCAAGTTTGGCTTTATGGAAAGCAAGTTTGACTTTAAGGAAAATTAATGCAATCTAATTTGATGATATGGTTAAATGGTCATTATGATTTTTTTGCTTCTATTTAAAAGAAAGATAGCACCACAAGCCACTTGTAATTTTAGAGAACCTACAGTAAAATTATCAATTCCTCAACACATAAAATAAATATGTAAATGTCTTCATTATTATCTACCTGATTCCACCACTTGTTAATTTTAAACAGGTTTTAATACTGATTTACATGCTGGGTTCAATACTAACACCCTCCATAACTTAAATCATTAAATTCCTGAGAGTCTTCAAACAGCTTACTCCATTTTCCAAATGAGACCACTTCATTATAATTACCATCTCATCATGTAAAAGTGAGAAGGATAACAACATTACAAAAACAGCATAAGGATTCAGAAGCAAAAGCGTTTCAGCAAGGTGGAGAGTGCTCTAGAAATTTTAATTTTTTTACAGCACAAGCGTTGCCTCATGGAAACTATGTGAAAAGCACTGGCCAAGTGGGAGCTGCGGGTAGCTGCTGGTCAGTACACAGAACAGCAGCCGGTGTGGTGAGCATCCACAGACCATGAGGAGCTCTCCCCAGCAGCAGCAGAAACGCGCACTGCAGGACTCAACACCTCTCGAACCGAGAGACGTTGCTTGCAAACACCTGTAAATCTCACCTCCTTGGAAAACTGCTCAACAATAAAACTTTGTCAACGTGCAGACCCAGGTACTCCTATCCCTGCCAGCGCGGTTATGTATCTCTGGGATGTAATGGGTCTGCATGCCGGAACACGTGTGCACGTCTGAGCCCGCTGCACCAACATGTATTCATAAACACTATGAATAATACTTGCGAGAATGTATAGCTTTCTCCTAAGAAACTTTTCAAGTACTTTACCCAAATCAAGTCCCTTCCATATCACATGTTCCTTTCTATTCCTGCGTGTTAACCGCGTGTGGGGAGTTCCGGCGCCTCAACAAAATTCTGGACAGATTGGGGGGTGAGTGCCCCCACCCAGATTTCCCGTTAGCCCAAGGTGACACCCCGAAAGGGGACCGTATCCAGGCTGGCTTCCTGGAAACACACCTGCGCCCTCGCACACCCACCGCTCCCCGCGTCACCAGTGCCACGGTCACCTGGGCAAGGACCGAAGTCAAGGGAATTCCCTCCGCCGCGCAGCTAGGAAAGGCGATGGGAAAGCGGCACCCCGGGGAATTTTGACAAATGGAGGAGGTAGGTGGGGGACAAGCTACTCACCCAGCCCTCAAAGGTGTCCGAGGCGCCGGCGGTGCGCAGCAGCTCATGGAATTGCAAGGTGCAATTGGCCACAAAGTGGTCGTAGCCCAGGGGCGTCTCGTGGAAGACGGCCAGCTCTAGGTGGCCGCCGTCGGTGACGTTGGTGCAGAACTCTTCATTGTACGTGGGTTTGTTGGTCTTCTGCTTGGTGCTGGTCTGACCCACGCGCACCTGGTCCACACTCACTGTCAGGTAGGGATCCAGCAGTTGGTAGCCCTTCTTGAAGAGCGAGTGGCGCAGGGACCAGCGGGTGGGCTGCAGACCCACTGCCTCGCCGATGCGGACCCTTAAGTAGCCATTGAACTTCATGGTGTCGGACGACATGCCGGCGCCGCTGTCCCGGCCCCGGGGGGCCGCCTTGGCTGGTGCTGGGAGAGCCTGGAGCCCCTGCTCAGGCCAGCCCTCGCAGCAGCCGTAGGAGCGGGGGCAGCTCTTGGGAAAAGCAGCGCCCAAGTCCCCCTCGCCGGGCCATTCCGAGTCCTCTTCGGTCCCTTCTCCTCCCCTCCTTCCCTGCCTCCCTCCCTCGCCAGGTGGAAAGGAGGGGAGCCCTGCGCTGAGCTCGCAGCGGGCCGGGGGAGCCCGGCCGTCCCTCTCGAGCGTGCGGCGCTTCCCGGGGTCTCCCACGGGACTCGCGCCTTCCCCAGAGCCGGGAGGCTCCTCTCCCCGGAGAGCCAGAGCGACCCGTCCGGTGAGCTCCAGCCCCGAGCGTCTCTGCCCCCGCCTCCCGCCGCTTCTCCTCCTGCCCCCGCCCCCGCGAACTCACGCTCTCCCCCACCCGGCGGCGAGCTCCGAACCAGGAAGCAGCAGCTGCCGCCGCATCCCCGGCGGGAGCTCGCGGCGCCGGTCCGAGTCCTTCGAAACCCTGTGCCGGCTCCCGCGCCCTTAGAGTCCCGGCGGCGTGGCGCGCGGCCCCGCCAGCCCCGCGGGAGGTCAGTGGCTGGGCACACACAGCCTCCCCCGGAGCCCCACACCGGCCCTCTCGCTCGCCCTGCTCCGCGCGCGCTCCGTGCTGTGCGGGGTCTGAGGGTGCCCTGCAGGCTGGAGGCTGCCCCAGCCCAGGTGAGGGCCAAGAAGGGAAGAGCCCGGGCCCTCGCGCGAGCAAACACCGGAGGCAAGGGAGAAGGGTCCGGCTGGAAGGAGGAAAGAAGGAGGAATCAAGGAACCCGATCGATCGGCGAGGTTGCCGGATCGCCGAGGGCGCCTCCCTCCCACCCTGAAAGGTGGGCTGGCCACTCTGCCAGGCCACGTGAGAGGCCCTGGCTGGAGGTGGGCTCCCGGCGGGGAGTTTCCTTCTCCTAATCTTTACAGGGATGGCTCATCCTGGGTTCAACTCAGGCCCATCCTGTTTGTGCGCCTTTCCTGCAGAGAGTAATTACACGTTTTTGTTTTTTTGTTTTTAATAGGGCAGTAGTAATGATGGAAATCCTGTCCGCCTCCTTCCTCCGAGAGGTGTGTCTTGTTGCACAAAGAGCAGGAAAGGTTGGTTCTGAAGACAGACATGGCCAACACGTAATAAGTCTCTTCCTTTACGAGGCGGTTTCTGTCCACCCAGCCGTGCACTGAGGCGGGAGACATTCACACATGCTCTATCCCTGATACAGGTGCACCAAAGAAATCACCTCTTCAAAGAACGCCTGGGTTGTTGCTGTGTTTGTGAGCCAGAGTGTTCCTTCCCTCTCGTGGCCCCACAGTTTTTGTCTACTCTGTTGCAAACCTTGCAAATCTTCCACCCTGGGGGCCAGCCACAACCTCTGTCTCACCTAAAGCCTGGGCCATTCCTAAGGTGCTTCATTACATTCTGACTAGCTAAACAAATTCCCTTGGGAGTAGACTGGTCTTCTAGCTCCCATCCTCCAGTGCCCTGTTCGGGCTCTCAAACTGAGTAGATTCTCACAATTTCACTGCAGTGAATGGAGGCACACTATAGAATGAAAACAAGTTAAGAACAATGGGCTGGTGGGGGAGGGCCTGTCTTAAAATACCAAAACCTCCTTAAGATAACAGGGCAGAGATGCAGCACACCACCCTAATGACACCTTAGCCTTAGGCAGGGCTTGTAAAGCAAGCTCCCAAACATCCAGGGGGCTTGGCTCTTGCGCTCCAGGGGACGAGGTCAAGGAGAGAACTTGGGTCAACTCTGTCACCCTCACCTCCAAAGAGCAGGGCTCTAGTTTTAAGAACCATGGAAGGATTCGGTGCTGTTGGGCTTTGGCACTGAAAGAAGACATCCCCAAAATGGTGCATTGGGAGGTGAGAGACACAGATCTGTCAGCACCAGGCACCAGTGGGCGGGCAGTGGTGACGCAGCAGTGAGCAGGACGGCCATGACGCCTGCCCTCCTGGGGCTTGTAGTCCCACAGGAAGGAGAAACAATAAATACGCCGTCACACACGTGGAGGGGCAGCGAAGGAAAAGCCTACCATGTGATGAGACAAAGGATCCTGGAGGGGTAGGCGGGGAAGGGCCCCTTAAGAAGCACATACGTATGGTTCAACTTGGGTGGGCTGGGATGGCAGTAAAAGACAGCTCTGTACTTGAACAATAATTAAATTTAAAAAAGGTTCAACTTATTCAGGGTCCCTGAGGAAAGGCACGGTTTCACCTGTTTGGGAAACAGGGAGGACTTCGTGTGGCTGGAGCCAAAAAGGGTAACAGGAGAGTGGTTGAAATGAGCTTGAAAAGGTGGGTCAGGGTCCAAGGCTGACCAGACTGGTACATCATGAAAAAGTCTTCGGACTATCTACCAAAGCAACTGAAGACCTCTGAAGGCTGTGAGGCAGGACCAGGACAGGATGAGGTTTGTGTTTTAAAATCTCTCTCTAGGGCTGTGTGGAAAATGGATTGGAAAGAACTAGCATGGGTGTGGAGAGACCAGTTAGGAGGCTGTTGCCAAAGTCCAGAGGAGAGAAGATGGTGACTGGAACTTAGGTGGTGGGGATGGAGATGAAGATAAGTATATGATGTAAGAAGGGTTTGGGAGGTAAAATTGACAGGTCCTGGTGATGGATTGCATGGAGGGAATGAGGAAGAGAAAAGCATCAAGGAAGACTTGCAGGAATCCAGCCTGAGCAACTGTGGATTAGGGAGCCATTCAAGATTAGGAAACATTAGAGGAAGAGCAGATTTGTGGAGGGAGATGAAGAGTTCACTTCCAGACATGTCAAGTTTGATATATCTTTAATACATGTAAGTGGAAATCTAAAGTGGGCAATTGGCTATGTGGTTGTGAAGCTCAGAGGTGCATTCTGAGCTAAAGATGAATTGCAGAGCCATCGGTATATAGATAGCAACGGATGTTAGAACAGTGGATGCCATCTCTGTTACAGGAAAAGAGAGTATAGCATGCAAAAAGAAGGGGCCTAGGGAAGAGCTCTGCAGAAACTCTAACATTTATTGATGGAGGGAAGATAGGCAAGGGAGTTGAGAATGAGCAGCAGGGGAGGTGAGAGAAAAACTAGGAGGATGCGGTGTCCAGTTTGGGGGCCAGAGCCTGTTTGGAGTAGGTTAAGATGGAAAATAAGTAGAGAGAGTAGACAATCTGTAAGCTATTTGGCTAGAACAGGGAAGAAGATGGAATCACTGGATATAGGGCTTTTTTTTTTTTTGGTATGGGTGAGCAATACAAGAGAAGAGAGAGATCACAGTTCAGAGACTGCAGGAAGGAATGCCAGCTAAGGCACAGGTGAAGAAATGGGCCTTAGTTTAACAGTAACATCTCTGTGTGTGGTTCTCAGCCCACTGTCCAAAGCTGCCTACATACAACCAGGGACAGTGGTCATCAGCAGCCACAACTTGCAGATTTCCAGCTTCATGGCCCCAGGAGAATGAAGATTTGCTCTACCAGCATCCTTAATCTGGACGAAGATTCTGATTGTCTCGAGGCTATGTCATTAGTCATTAGGTGGCTCCTGGAGAACATGGCAGGTAGTAGACAGCATACAGTTCAAGGTTCCTGTAGGAACAATCTGCCAATACAAACTTCACCTGTGTTAATAGCTGTTATTCAGAGCTGGTCCTGACTTTTAAGGAAGGCAGCAGAGGAAGATGTTTCCTCTCTGTGTCCATTCCAGCTGGTATATAGTGGATACTTGCATACCTGCACTGCCTGTTTTAAAATCTTCAGTATGGGTCCCTTTGTAGGCTAGAAGGCTTTTTTTCCCCTTATCACTATTACTTTTTCTTGTTTTAGTGGTACCATGACTTTGGACTTTTGTAAATACAATTCTAGTACAAATTCTAAATGCTTTTTTATCAATTGCTTGATTGAATCACTGCTCTTTTTCTCATTTCTTTTCAAAAAAATTTTTTACTGATTGATTTTAGAGAGAAAAAGGGAAAAATGTTGATTTTTTTGTTCCATTTATTTAGGCATTCATTGGTTGATTCCTTTACGTTCCCTGACCAAGGATCAAACCCACAGCCTTGGCATATTGGGACAATGCTTTGACCAGCTGAACTACCCAGCCAGCACTATTTTTCTCATTTCTTAAGGGACATTTTATACAACCTCCATTCCAGTTTAAAATAGAATTAGAGGATTTAGAGGTTATGGCCAGGTGAAAAAATTACCCCATGTTACTACAAAATGGCACAACCTTTGGAGGGCATTTGACAGTGTACATCAAAAGTTTCAAAGTGAGAAATCAGTTCTTTGCCGAGAAAGGTCCAGCAATAGTGGAATGACTAAGTAGGTTATAGAAAAGCAATTCAGTAAAATATTACATAATTGTTAAAATGACATATGGAAAACAATATAGAAGGAACAATAGTCAATAACATTATAAAAATCTAAAGTAAGATACATAAATATGCTGTGCAGTACATGAAATATGTATGCCAAGGGACAAAGTTAGGAATGCAACACAGATAAATGAAAACAGTTCTTAGACTACTGGACTTACAGATAATAAACATACTTATCTAAAAGAGCTCTGGAGAGAAAATAATTTATATAACACATCCGATACATTGCCCAGCACATGCTATGTTTCAGCTGTTACTTGCCTGTCGTATTATCGTTCATCGAGCGTCCACCAGCACTGTAACAAGGCATTTGGCTAACAGTACTTCATTTGACCCTTGTGAGAACCATCGAGGTAAGTGTTATTATTTCTGTTTTACAAATGAGGATACCAAGGGTCAGAAATGTTAAGTGAATTGGATCACGTAATTAATATGTGGTACATGGTAGCGCTGAGATTTGACCCATTTTTTAAATGCGTGCCTGAGCCCACCCAGAATGGTTCTAATGCACAACATGCTAGCAGACTGCTGCTGTGCGCTGAGACCAAGGAGGCAGATGGAGATTCTCAGCCAGCAGGAGAGAATGGGATGCAGGGCAGGAGGTATAACTGTTCCTTATCTATTTCTGAATATGCAAAGGTACACATAATGGTATATGTATAAAGGTATGAGTAATGTGGCAAAAGTAAGCCACCATGTTCTATTTATAGATGTTCCAAAAAGAACAGAAAAAGGTAAGACATGTCACAAATACACCAGCATTTCTCAGAATGGAAGGAAGACACTAGTCTCATATTGAAAAGGACAATTAGGCAGAATGAGTAAAAGACTCATGCCTACACCTATCATTATGATGTTTCTGAACACTCAGATAAAGGGAAGATCTTCAAGAACTTGGAGGAAGAAACAGAAGCCAAGTCTGGAGTGGGGGTGTGGAAGTGATGTGAGATAAGACCAGAGAAGTAAG